TCTTCTTCTACCAGTCCTTCATCACCTTAAACGAAATTGGGTGAATACATCTCATCCACCCTGGATGAGAATATCTTTTGGAAGACGAGGTGTGATATAGGCATATACTTGTAGAAAGCTCAAATATTGTCACTCCCTCATCTTAAGCGACTTAGGTGGAAAAACATTCTATTTTGAAAATCGAGTACTTATTATAATTTATGGAGTCTAAAGAATGAATTCCATTAAAGAAAAACAAAGTATAAATACTATAAGCTTGAATGAATTGGCTATCACCGAGTTTTATTCTACCTGTTGTCATGTTTATGTGTCCTTCGGCTGTAGCGTAGGCACGGGGACCAACTGGCCTCTGCGATTGTACCGAATAGGCAGCAGACGGCACTAATGGATAAGTACCAGGCGTCAGCTGGTCGGCGATCTGTCCCCCGAAGATAGGCGGATGTAACTGTTGTTGTTGTTGTAAGTTAGCAACTTGTTGGAATGCGGCAACGGCCGCAGCACCGGAACCTGTCCCTGTAGTTGTTCCAGAGGGTGCCATCATCATAGTTGTCATCATCATGACTGGTGAATTGGACGAACTCACTGAATTTGCTCCGGCTAAACAACTGTTTGGTGAAAGGCTTGTGACAGGTAGACCGATTCCAGAAGCTCGTAATAAAGTCTGCTGTTGTCCTCCCGATCCTGGCTTATTCAGCCCTGCAGCCTGCATTATATTCACTGGAGCCGCTGGAACTGCAGTCCCGCCTGCTACATTCGGCGGTCCGACCATCACTTGACGTGGCAATAAGCTACCGGCAGGAAGGGTACCGCTTAGTTGAAAATAGCCAGTTGTATGAGGAAGAGCATGGTGCATAGGTGAATACGATGGGTAAATGGAGGGTTGCCCAGCAGCATATGTTGCTGGATATACACCGGCGGGCACGCCCGTTAATTGCATACCGGCCTTTTTGGGAATAGGGAGGAGTATAAGGATGAAAATAGGTTAAGATAATCGAAGGTAAGAAATTAGGAATAATGGGGAACATGGAAAGTGAGCAAGTAATTGCACAGTTCATCGTAAACTTATGTTGCCTAAGGTTGATTTTGAAAGTTTTCTTTAATTCGCCATAATGCACAGAAAATTGATACAAGTAGAGTTTAAACATGAGCTCTTCTACAGTAGCATAGTTATCTGATTTTGATAGGTTGAAAACAAAACTTTCTGTACGATGCTTGCCTTGGTAATAAGTATCTCAGAGAATTTATAGAAAGAAATAAAGGGGTCATAATGAGCGGATTTCAACTAGGATTGTATGAATTAGGATCAGAAATCGGTAGGACTCTCAAAAGTTGATATGCCTACCCTCCTGTAAAGTGAACCATAAATTGCAACCGTTGCTAATAAAGTGGAATATCAAAGGGATGACAAAATAAAAGACAACATACTTGACAAGCCTGCCGGCGTAACGCGATAATGTTAACAAACTGGATTGCTTAGGAGTCTATAGCAGAATCATGGACACTAAAAGATCCGAAATAACGAAATACATCGCACGGACGGGACAAGAAATCGAGCATAAATTGGCAGAAATGCTGGCCGCATATGGTCGTAATACAAGAAAAGGCAAGATACAAAAGACATCGATATCCTGACTGAAAAAAAGTTAATGAACTTAAAGTCTTAAATAATGCGGGACTCGCGAAAACTTTGCATACAGGTTAAACAAACTCGGAGGAGATCAGGGAACGGCAATATCAGCAAAAAGAAGACGACTGGACAATTTTAGGAAAATAAATTTGAGGGAGACCAGAGAGGAACAATCGGATACCAAGAGAAGCCGTCTATTCAAATCAAATAGAACAAGAGAAAGTAATAGACTTGGCAATAGGGATAGAAAATCAAGAGAAACGGTGGCGGCCATCTCTAGTTAGTTAATAGTAGATAAGTTTACTCATAGACGTGGTACATGAAGTAAAAGCTTGAGCACGAGATTCATTCGGTGCACACAGGGCATTGCGATAAGTGAATCTACAGCGTCAAGTTAGGTTGCCATGCCAATTGAGAATCCAGATTTTAGAGGCTGGTGTATACGTGCTATCAAAGGCTTGAGGGAAAGTGTGGAACAACGCCTTGAGTTGCAGGGATGGGGTGGCAGCGATGGCGTGAAATCACTGAAACAGACAGACAAGGGAAGGATGCTTCAGAAAAAGAGGAGGACTCTGATAGGACCTGAAGGGGGAAGATTGCGGATTAAGCCGTAGCCTTGGATCAGCCCTACCGACACAGTGGGAGGAATGTGGACACCAGCGGGTAGTGTGAATAGGTTTCAAATAGGTTTAGTTAAACAAGTAAGAATTTTTGACATTGAAAGGGTGATACGAGGATATAGGATAGGTGAATAGCCCAGGACAGAAGGAGAGATGCCACAACTGTTTAACAGACGACTGGTCGAAGGTTCGACTTCACTTGTCTCTTTGACGATTTGTAGTGCGTGTAAGGATGGCAAGGCTGACTGACGATGCCGGCGAAACGCCTGGGGATGTACCAAGTCCATGGTCCGACTCTGGAAATGATCATGCATACAATGGACTCCGGACGAGTTAATTTCCTCTAGGTCCTCCTGCCAATATGACCAAGTTATGAAAACAAGGTCAAACAAATACTAGTAAATTAAATTTGTTTCTTCCGAATCATTCTTTCCGAAGGCATAATCTCAGGATTTTAGGTCAGACTCTAACGGAGCATTAGAGTCGCTAATTATAAAGATCCTTTGCCCGTGGAAGATTCTACTTAAAGTCTTTGTAATGAATGCATATTCAGTACATAGTATATTTTTTGGGTTTTATTGCTGGCACACGAAATCTGATTAATCAACATATTTTACTCCTAGCTCCATTTGTGTTGCTACAAGCCTACTAGCTGTTACAAAGCCATTCGAAATTGTGTAGCCGAATTCATTAATACTTCATAATATACAATAACAAGAGGCTTTCTTAATCAAATTATACATCCCATAAGATATGTTTCTCTTCGAAGGAACGTTTGTGTCGCCGTTGAGGCGACGAATCTGGGGATTCATAATGATCATATTTTATTATGACATTTCAATGAATTTATTAATAAATAATTGATCCTTCTTTTATGTAGCCTCATAATAGATGAGATGGACCTTAATCATGAAATGATTTATCCTATTTATTTGATGTGGTAGTCTACATGTCTTGTAGTTACCATGGGGTTTGTACTATGTATATTAAGTGTCCCTTGACGAACTCATAGTTCTATGCAACTGAATGAGAACGCGAAGCCATACATAACGCCACACCATCCTGGTCTTCATATCTTCGATTAAGTTCCTGGATTTATTCACCCCATTTCGTTAATATGATGACCAATTGGTTGTTTAA